TATATTACCTGCTCTTACTGGGTGCTGCTGTAATTGGTTGTTGCTATAATTAATTGCTGCTATATTATCAATTGCTGCTATACTATTGCTTGCTGATAATACTTTGTAATAGCTTGATATATGTATTTGCGTTCTTCATCATAGGTACACTTGCTAGTGGTGATTTTCATGGTATTTGTGGTAATCTGTAATAAAGAAAACGAGAAGATAAAGTCTCCGTGCCCTTCTGTAATAGAAAATCCTACGAACTCCTAGTCATCATCTTCACAGACCTGCTGGCCAGGTAACCCTTTAGGTCATGACACCACACTACAACTTCAGTCACCCAAGCCCAGCTCTTAAGCGCAGGATGCAAAACAGCCAGGAAAGAATAAGGAACAACACGCACAGAATTCTCTAATATCAAAATATAGCAATTTATTCAAGACACTGAATATGATCTGTTGATTCTCTCCTTAAAACAAATGAGCTACAATACACAAGGTGAATTTGAAGAAAGTGTGGGTGGGGGAGAAACAAAATAAGGGTTGATGTTGTTTCAACAGAACCTGGGAAATGCTGAAATGAGAACCAAGTCTGGCTGCAAGTCTGACACAGACAATAAAAACTGCAGAAGCCAGAATTCAGAGTTTCAGTGAATGGCTGAAAGAACATTTCTGCAATTGACAAAGAACCACATTTTTAAAAAGGCAAAAGGAGGAAAAAAAGGAGGAAAAATTAAAAAGGGAAAAAGAAAAAAGAAACCCAAAAACAAAGCAGACCCTTACATTTGACAAAGTGCACTTCACTTGGCTCTAAAATTAGCTATTTTTTTCTTTTTTTTTTTAAACAAATTAAAAGGAAATTTCTAAGATGTAGCATGGGGTTAATGTGTGTATAACCCTGTACGTCAGGCCCTTTAGTACCCCACAAGGGACCCAGTGTTTTCTACATAAAAGATTCAGTATCCTTCTAACCCACAGAGACGAGTGGTTTTCCTGAAACTTTTTTCACTTCAAGGCCAGTTCCAGACAGCCAGCAATGACACAAATCCAGTAAGCCTCTAGATGCTTTCACAATCCTGTTTGGTCACTTCGGTTTTCCAATTTCTCTTCCATTAGAAAGAACTAGAAACAAAATTGTCGAAAAATACTGTATGAGACAAATGCTGAAGTTCAGCGCGTGTTGGACCGCTGCTTCGTGCGGTTCCGTGGCAGGGGGG